TACTACTTGATGTCTGGGGTCGCCACGACCTCAGACCTCAGAATATTCTGTGCTTCCGCAGTTACCACTCCTCCCGGCTAGACGTAAGCTTTGAATGCGTATACTGAGAGAGGTGGTAGCTTAAAGCCAATATTCCAGCACCTCACATTTCTTTTTGTATTGCACTCTTGTTATTTTGTCTTAACGTAACTTTCATTGTGTCATTTAATTATTCTTATTATTTTGATTGATTTTATTATACGATTTGTTTGTGCATTTTATTCATGTTTTTATTTCTTTAACGTAATTAAAATTTCATTGTTAAAGTTTACTTGTGTTTTGTGTGTCTTTCCTTACCTTACCACAGACGAAGTTCCAGTTTTTTCTATTTTTTTTATAACTATGTGACGAGGCCATACCCCTAGCCTTAAACAGCCGAACACCAACGCGTTACCGTCACAATAGAAATGGAAAGTTTAATGAAATTAAATTTTGAGGTGAATAAATGCCGAGATGGAAGGAAATGAAGTTGAATTCAGCTGCCGGACTGGACCTTACAATTGAACCAAGAATCGACCTGTCTTGATACAGGTTTCTAATGACAGGCAGTGGACTATATAATGAAGCACAAATTTTACTCAGAGGCAGCGAAGGCTATTACAATGTGTTTATTGACAGATATATGATGAAAGATGAACAATTAGGCAAGCCGCTCTGCTCGCCACCGGACGCTTCCCACCCTACTCTCTCCCCACCTCTCCTTCCCAAATAATCCCCCCTCCCACCAAACCCATACCTTCCCCAAATCGACCTTCCCACCCCTCCCCTCGTCCAATCCCGTCTGCTCCATCCCACCCTTCAATGCCCCCCTCTTCCCCTCCTCCCCCATACTCCGCCCATCCCTGACCCTCCTCTGCACCTCATCTCCCATATGACCCCCTTACCTTGCAACCCCCTCACCTCTTCACTGCCCACAAACCCCATTCTCTTCCCCCAACTTACCAAACCCATTCCTCAGCACCCACCTCCCTCTTACTCTCCTTCTATCCCTAAACCCACACCTACCCCTGCCCCCCCCCCCCTTCCTGACTAAACCACAACTCTCTCCAACTCGCAACCCCACCTGCTCCACTCTTCCTCCCCCCCCCTCTAAACCTTTATCTGACTCTCAGCCTCTACACCCCCCATGCTTCTCAGACCCTCCCTAACTTTGAGACCCATTATGCCCTTTCGACCCCTCCCCCCCCTAGCTGTCCTGACCCCATTTGCTCACAGTCACCACCCGGACTGGTGGGCATTATTTTTTATTTCGATTCTGTCATTAAATTCCAGAACCCCAAAGAAAGTGTTAACTCTGGTGACCGAGTTTCCAAGACGAGTCATAAGGTTTGGTACACCAATACTGATGGGGTATCCAATAAAGCAGAAGAGATACGAGTGCTAGTGAGTCAGATCTTGACATAATTGCAATAGTGAAAACTAAAATATATGGCATGATCTCGGATGCAGTCTTTCCAGATTGGTACCAAGTAATAAGAAAAAGGACACAGATGGGCAGGGAAAATAGCACTCCTAATAAAGAAGAAATGGAAGTTTGAAGACCTGGAAAATTGGGATATTAATGTAAACAAAAGTTCTATACATGGGGCTCTGACAGCAGATGGGAAGAAGATTGTGATCTTGATAATCTAATCATCCACCAAACAGTAGAAGACCCAGGCAGGAGTATGATGACAACAACAAGGCATGTATAGATGAAATGCAGAGGGCAGCAACATTAGCTCACAGAATGAGAGCGAAACTGCTGGTCATGGGGGACCTAAATCATGGAGAGATCAATTGGGAATAAAGGAATCCCCATGGAGGGGAAGAAACGTGGGGAGCAAAGTTAGTTGACGTTATAAACAAGAATTTTCTAACACAACATATGAAGGAAGACAAGGTAAATAGGAGGGGGATAAACCGAGCCTATTAGACCTGATTTTCACCCAGAACGTAGAAGACCGAGAATTTGGAACATGAAATACATCTAGGGACCAGCGACCATTGTGTCCTAGTCTTTGACAACACGATGGAACTTAAAATTGTGACCATGGGGCAAGAGGTCTGGGGAAGGAGAGTTGACTACAGGAAAGGGGACTACAGGAGGATAAGGGACTATCTGGGAGAAGTGCAGAGGGAGCAAATTAGAGGAAAACAGTTCAAGATATGATGGACCTAGTCATACGGAAATGCTAGGAGGCCGAAGATAGATTTATACCAACAGAAAAGGAAAAAAATAAGAGGGAATATAATAACCTATGGTTTAACAGTGTCAGAAAGCACAAATGAGAAGCAGGCGGAAGTGGAGGAAGTACAGAAGACAAAGGCTAGAGGGCAACAGGATTAGATGCAGAACTAGGAACGATTACATTAACATAAAAAGAGTATCGGAAATAAATTATGAAAACGATATTGCAATCAAAGCGAAAAAGCAACCTAAATTACTACACAGCCATAAAAGAAGGAAGATGTCTGTAAA